TGCAGTACACAACAGGCTGTATTGGAGTGCCATGTCTTTGATGGTTGCAGAGTTATTGGAGTGCTTCGGCCTAAGGATTTTTTGCAGGTGCTGCTGTAAATAAAGATTGTAATTTAGTTCCTGAATGTACATAAAGATGCAGGTAATAATAAGTCTTTTAAACATCAACATATGAAAGCCTGGTATAAGTAAAGTAGTGTATACAATGTACTACTGTATATCAGCTTCAAGTCCTTTGCAAATGGTCCAACTATTCCCTAGGCTGGGGGTTCTCAACCTTTTTGAGACCAGGGCCTGGAAAATTCTTCTAAAACTTTCCATGCTCCAATAGTAAAAAAAAGTTGATAGTCACACAATAAAAGTATAGGAAAGCATATATTGAAATGCTGGAAGGCTTTGGATGGGACTGGGTGTCACTATGGGGGGGGGGTAAGATATGGGTTAGGAAACTCTGCAGCAGACTTGGTGACCCCACAGGGGATGAGGTTTCTGGAGGGGCTGGGAGACACTGTTGGAAGTTGGGGGCACTACGATAGGCTGGAGGCTCTGCAGCAGGCTACGAGGCCATGTGTGAGGTTGTAGAAAACTGTGGGGACTGAGAGCTCTCAGAGGTCCGGGGTCACTGTGGCCCACTATGGGAGGTTGGAGAGCACTATGGGAGCTGGAAGACCTTGTGGGAGGTTAAGGGATCTGAAGCTGGCTGGAGGCCATAACAAAGTAAGGTTGAGAACCACTGCTCTAGGCTACTTGCACCTGTGCACCCAGAGCACTTGAAAGTAAACGTACACCGATGAAGCAAAATTAGGAAAATCAAACATATGTAGTGAGAACATTCTACACCATAGGTTGTGGAGCATCTGTATATAATAATATTCAAAATTGTATGTTTTTAAGCATGAGGACATTACAATACTTCACATTCCCATAATGTTTCAGAAGATCATAATGGGAATAATTTTGGAATAGCTTAGGGTGCCCATGGGCATTAGAGCAGCCTTTGTCAGCCAGGGTTTCATGGAACTCTAGGGCTCCTCCAGAGATTGCTAGGGGTTCCTTGGGGAATGACCAATTTCTCTCTCTCAGATAAGTTACTACTAAAGACATTAAGTCAAATTCCAACGCGTTTTCTGGTTTCAACATCACCTCTTTTTTTGAGCCCTCTACAGACTAACCAGAGCATGATAGGGAATTCTACAACAATGAAACATGACAAGAGGCTCACTGGGCAGCAGATGGGAAAAGACATAACTGGGGTTTATAAAATTCCATTTTTGAGTGGGATGTCGGACTTAACCACAGATGCAGTTTTTGCCAGACAGCATTATAAATTCAGTTATTAATCTCACATGTTGTCTAGTTCTCATTTATCCAGGTGATGATATATCTAGTAGTAGTTGGTCACATTCAGCTTGACTTGGTCTTTAATGTGGAAGACGTTTTATCGCTTTCCCAAAGCCAGCTCTTGAATTCTAACAAGATGCGACGTAGATTGCCTTCAATGTTGAAGAACAAGTCCAGCTAAATATGAACAACTACAATAGATACTTTCAGTTGTTGTCTTGAATGGTCTTTGAAGGATAACTCAACTTTCATGAAAAGAAATATAGCAATAAAAAAAATATGGAACTGGAGAGAGTCAAGAGAAGGGCAACAAAACTGATCAGAGACTGGAGGATCTCGGTTACGAAGAATGATTACAAACATTAAACTTCCCTGGAGAAGAGACACTTAAGAGGAGATATGATTGCAATATACTAATCTTTCTTCAACCTTACTAACTATGTAACTATGTATAAAGGCAAATATATATAATATACAATTGCTTCACAAGCCATGTTATAATTTAATATTTATAAAAGTTATCTATCCTAAAAAGGATTAAAAAATCTGCACCCGCAGCAATTTTCTGAAAAGTCAAATGCAACACAGCAACCTGGAGGTATTCTGTATGCCAGAATGCACCCAAAAGGTAATTTCCTTCTTGTACAACTGGCTCACTGATTTTCCCAGAAGTCTGCACCCAGATACAAATCGGACTTAGGCTTCCCCTGCAGTAGGAATTTCCTTTTTGGTGAGATATTTCCCAAGGGCTAAATACTTCTTAAGGAATGCAGTCAACTGCAATCTTTCTCATCAGAACACTGAGATGCACGGATGATTATAATGAACCAGTCCCTCCTATTCAGAATCAGTCTTCAATTTACACGATCAATCAAGCAGCCATTTCTTCATAGCAGAAACAGGTAGTAATGTAAATTGATCACCGAAAGGGATTGTTTTATTCCCAGCAAAAGTGGAGTTACACTTCAAAGGTCTCCATTTATGTGGGAGTACTGTTCTGATTCAGGGAGCGCACACAGGAACACATGGATTTTAATGTGTATGTTCCTATGCAGTGCACTTTGGCAGTCTAATCATTTAACTAGTACTGCAGTATCGTACAATTTGTTGCCCGAAAATGCACTGTGTATGGGGTTGCTACTAAATTGTGGTTGTGGAAGCCAGTTTCATGTCACAGGTCATATACCAAGGGAACACTTGGCACAGCAACAAAACACAAGGATCTACAATGGTGAAACTGCTGAAATTCCTGGATCTTTTCTCGCTCCTAGCTGCAGCCTCACTTCTCCCGGTGCACTGAGATACAAGTGAATGAAGAATCCACCAAGAAAGGTCTCAGAAGGAATTATAGTTGAACATGACCAGGACACGAGAAGAAAACCTTTCTATCCATCTGTTATACTGTACATGGGCTCTGGACCTGTAGTAGCCATGGTCTTGGAAGGGTGCAGTGTTGTTTGCCTCACTTCTCCCGGTGCACTGAGATACAAGTGAATGAAGAATCCACCAAGAAAGGTCTCAGAAGGAATTCTGGTTGAACAATACCACGACCCGAGAAGAAAACCTTTCTATCCATCTCTTATACTGTACATGGGCTCTGGACCTGTAGTAGCCATGGTCTTGGAAGGGTGCAGTGTTGTTTGCCTCACTTCTCCCGGTGCACTGAGATACAAGTGGATGAAGAATCCACCAAGAAAGGTCTCAGAAGGAATTCTGGTTGAACAATACCACGACCCGAGAGGAAAACCTTTCTATCCATCTCTTATACTGTACATGGGCTCTGGACCTGTGGTAGCCATGGTCTTGAAAGGGTGCAGTGTTATTTGCCGGGCACTGTGTATGGAGACTTCGGCATCCATATCAGCAGTTTGGTCGCCCACTCCATGTACAGCTGTAACATTGAGGGATCAAGACCTGTCCGCTGAGTGCTGTTTTGATGTGAATTGGTCCCTAGGGGCCACAGCGTGGAGGTGGCATGCTAGCCGGTGGTGGATACGTTTGTTAAGGCGACCAACTTACTTGTCACCAACCATTGTTTGCACCAAGTCATTTGCACCAAGTCGTATTGCTTGACGATGCACAGAGTTTCATTGGACTGTTTTTCATTTAGTTCACATTTTTTATGACACATTTGTCTGTATTTTTTTGATAATTTCATTTTTTCACCTATGCCTTTGATACACCCACCTATTGTTTCTCATATTGTGGATTACACTCTTTCTGTGGTACTATATATTTTGATCACGTGTTTGGTGCCACTTTTTCACATTTATGCTTATTTATTATTTTTGTGCTCACTTTGAGTATTTATTCACTATTGTTGGTCTGGTTCACTTATATATATATTTTATATACAGGAGGCACTTAGTCCCCCTGTTCACTTCATTGCTCCCCATCCTTATATACTGTATATATTTTATATGCAGGAGGCACTTAGCCCCCCTGTTCACCTCATTGCTCCCCATCCTTTTATACTGTATATATTTTATATGCAGGAGGCACTTAGCCCCCCTGTTCACTGCATTGCTCCCCATCCTTATATACTGTATATATTTTATATACAGGAGGCACTTAGCCCCCCTGTTCACTTCATTGCTCCCCATCCTTATATACTGTATATATTTTATATACAGGAGGCACTTGGCCCCCCTGTTCACTTCATTGCTCCCCATCCTTTATATATTGTATATATTTTATATGCAGGAGGCACTTAGCCCCCCTGTTCACTTCATTGCTCCCCATCCTTTTATACTGTATATATTTTATATGCAGGAGGCACTTAGCCCCCCTGTTCACTGCATTGCTCCCCATCCTTATATATTGTATATATTTTATATACAGGAGACACTTAGCCCCCCTGTTCACTTCATTGCTCCTCATCCTTTTATACTGTTCACTTCATTGCTCTCCATCCTTATATACTGTATATATTTTATATACCGGAGGTACTTAGCCCCCCTGTTCACTTCATTGCTCCCCATCCTTATATACTGTATATATTTTATATACAGGAGACTCTTAGCCCCCCTGTTCACTTCATTGCTCCCCATCCTTATATACTGTATAGATTTTATATACAGGAGACACTTAGCCCCCCTGTTCACTTCATTGCTCCCCATCCTTATATACTGTATATATTTTATATACAGGAGGCACTTAGGCCTCCTGTTCATTTAATTGCTCCCCATCCTTATATACTGTATATATTTTATATATTTTATATACAGGAGACACTTAGCCCCCCTGTTCATTTCATTGCTCCCCATCCTTATATAGGGGCGTTCTTATAATGTTTTGCACATTGCATATTATTGTATATATATCCTTTGATCACGTAGTTGTTCTCACTACCACCTCACGGTATTTTCTTTTGCTTTAATGTTTTTTATCTCTGGTATTTATCAGTTTATATTAATTTATAGAGGACTAACGCAGCACCACCCTTGTTCGTTTATTAATAATATATTGGCACTTGCATGCAGATCACAAGGGTAGCACGTTCACCTATGGTGCGGGAAACGCAAATGGAATACACCTTTCCCGCACCACATTCTGGTGTGAACTGGCCCTGAAGCTATCACAAAAAAAACAGAAAATCTGCTTTAGATTACATTGTTATTTTAATGCCTTGTTGTTATTTTAATATCACTTTACTTACTGGTAGCTGAAGATGCAGATGCAGGTGCAGGTGCAGGTGCAGATGCAGATGCAGATGAAGATGAAGGAGGAGTCGATGATGTAGTGGTCGTACTTGAAGAACCACTTGAAGAACCACCAGTAGGAATTCTGAGAGAAAAAAAAAAAGGTTGTTTGTATATTTATGCAAGTAATTCACCACAAATATAGGAAACTATATCTACCATCTGTAATTTATTTCACTTATGCCCATACACACGAGAAATGAAATGTAAAGATGAATTTCACTATTCAAATATAAAAGTCGGCATCTGCAGAATTTTCTCTGTATCAACACCATGATTTCTTATGATCATCAGCTCCATCTGGTGGCCAAAATGAAGTATTTTTTTAAAAATACCCCTTTTAGGAAATATACTGCATTTTGGCCACTAGGTGGAACTGACGATCATAAGAAGTCTTAGTATTAGAGATAATATAGGAAAATTTGTGCAGCCTGACAAATTCTTGTGGCATTCGTCCAATGAATGTTTTATAAATGGACACCTATGCGTTAATAATAAGTGAAGATACCTTTAAAGCCCCTGAATACTAGCCAAAAATGGAAATGTAAATTTGATCTAATCTAATTTGACGTGTACTACTACAGGATGTGATTAAATAATGACGTTTCAATTGAGATACGAATGTGAAGTGCAGAAATACATATTTTTCAGTTGTGGGTACACTATTGAAGGGTTAAAACCTCTGTCAGTTTATTTGGTGTACATTAGGGAGGTTCTACATCCTATCCCAGAGGCTCATCAGAAAGTGAGATGAAGTCCCTCCAAAGAGGGGGAACATCCATTCCTAGACAGTTGACACAAGAACTGGTGTCCCTACTGGAAAATTTCTCTTCACCTCTTTTGCTGGTGACCATTCAAAGTGGGTAAATCTGCCCAGTGGGGACACTAACAGCAATAAAAACCTGATGGTGGTTCTAACACGTTCCAGCTCTGTCTAAAACAATAAATAAAACATTTTGTCTATACATACACTTTTTTTTTCCATTGGTGTGTAATTGAATTAATCAATGTATATGTCTTTATCTCACATTGTACTGGTGCTACTACTCTTGATGTTTAATATAAATATGTGGTGGTCTTCCCAGTTCCCCTTGTTTACTCTTCCAATCTGATCAAACCAAAGCACAGAAACAAGCTGGTCAGTTTGCCTCAATGGGTTTGCTTCTTGGAGGTACAGGACACTGTGCAGATGCACGACATGCCTCTACCTGCCATAGTCATCTTTGCCATCAAGCCCATCCCAGCCCATGCCTTGTTTATTGACAGGGGCAGAAGGGGTCATAGAATAAAAGATCAAAAGAGGCATACATTTTTTTAATAATGAATGGAGTTTAGTTAAAAAAAAAAATAATTGGAAGTATAAGGTCCCATTCACACTTGTAATCACTGCGATTCTTCTGTCAACAATTGCAAATTATGGCAAAATGCACATTAGGGTGCCATTATTCCTAATGGCACCCAAACGCTGTGTGATTGTGCCATGATTGACGCTTGGCAAAAAGTGCGCTTAAATATTGCACAAAGCTTGTTGCCCAATAGGAGCAGGAGCTTCATTTGGGCAAGAAACTCGCATAGTGTATGGGCTGCCCTATGCGTGACAAGTGGAAGTGCGTGTAAATTACACGTTAAAATTCTCAAGTGGGAACGCTCGTTCCCGCTATGCAATATCGGAACAGGGCTTTACAGTGTGTATTTTTAGGAGTGTCTTCACAAATACTTTAATTGTGTCTTTCTGTTGACCTGCAGGACAGAGTACATAAAAAAATGATTAGCTTGAGACCTACCATTGCTTTTATTTGCTACCTGAAAACTTCCCTCTGTCCTAGCGGTGGATTTATACTGCCACTCACAGCAACCTCTCTTCTGCTATAGCAGGCTGTAATCCCCTTCCTTCTATCACAGACTTGACAATGACATCCTCTTTTGTTCTTTATATTCAAGATGGTCTCTCTTTTTTTTGTTTTATGTCAAAAATTTAATAGAAGGGACACCTGAGAAAGTGTTGAAGTTAAAAATCAATTCCATACAAAACCATTATTTCAGTTTTTTCACAAATTGAACCATGGGCTGTCTGCTTATACCACTCAGGGACTCCAGTGATGAACAATCTCTACCAGAACTTAAAGTTATGACCAACCATTGTTTCAGGTTTTTCACAAATTGAACCATGGGCTGTCTGCTTATACCACTCAGGGACACCAGTGATGAACAATCTCTACAAGAACTTAAAGTTATGACCAACCATTGTTTCAGGTTTTTCACAAATTGAACCATGGGCTGTCTACTTATGCCACTCAGGGACTCCAGTGATGAACAATCTCTACCAGAACTTAAAGTTATGACCAACCATTGTTTCAGGTTTTTCACAAATTGAACCATGGGCTGTCTACTTATGCCTCAGGGACTCCAGTGATAAACAATCTCTACAGGAACTTTAAGTTATGACCAAGCATTAGGGCAACCTAAAAGCCAAAGATTGGATTACCTTGCTCAACTGATATTCCATAATGTGAAATAGAAAAATAATTCATAAATCCAACTGCAAGAGTGACACATCCAATATTACCATTTAAAGACTCAGACTACATCTGTAAAAACTCCACTAGAGCTTACAGATTGGTATGTGTTGGTGGATGATCAGACCAAGTACCCAATCAGAAATGCCCTCTCATGATTCATGCAGTGACAATGCCATCTATTAAATCAGGGTCTCTCAACCAGGATTCCTCTAGAAGTTGCTTGGGGTTCCTTGAGCAATGACCAATTTCTTCTACTCAGATAAGTTCCCACTGACACCATTGATTATTTTAGCTATCTCTAAGGGGGTAATTATTCCCAATGACCACAATTTTAAGGAGCATTCTTCCCACTGACCATCATACTAATGTATCATCAGGTATAGATATAATAATTTACAGCAGGGGTTCCCCGATTCCAGAAAGTTATTTCAAGGGTTTCTTTGTGTTGAAAAGGTTGAGTATTAGATAATTAGAAAGGCCAGTACTGTCTGGTCCACCAACTCACTTAAGGTCTTGTCCATCCAGTAGTTCTCTGTACTTGGCGATCTCCTGTTCCAGACGAGACTTGACGTCCAGAAGCATTTTGTATTCGCTGGTCTGCTGTTCCAGTTGGTTTCGGAGTTCTGCAATTTCTTCTTCTATCTTAGCTATGAGCTCCTGAATCTGAGCAAGCTGTGCACAGTATCGACCTTCTGTATCAGCCAAGGATGCTTCGAAAGCTGATTTCTGTGTATAACAGAAACATGTTTGTTACAGTTGAGTCAAGGCCCTTGACCCGAAATTCTCTTTCAAGCTAATTGCAACCTATTTATCTCTCTATTACAAAATTGGTTCGACTACAGTGCTCTTCACATGCTAAAAAAAAAGACAGACAAAAAGAAATTGGGCTGCTGTGGGGCTCATTATTATTTTAGAGTCCCAAATAGTCTGGCTGCATTATAATGTATCCAGACAGTGGTAATATTAACAATAGAGTGTGGGATGACAACATTGCTGGAAACTTCAGTGCAACAAAGGCACTGTGTTGTCAGCTCATACTGGAAGTTAGGGGCACACTGGATTACTTGCAGATCAACTGGTATTTTTATGTAATGGCAGCCTTTCTTGAGGTATAAAACATGGGAAAATGTGTATTTGTTGCAGAGATTTACTGAATGCTGCTCTTTTCTTAACTTCTTGCCATGGTATACACTATAATGTTTGAAGTGGATGTAAAGCCAAAACTCTTGTTTGTTTTGTTTTAGATAGAGTGGGGAAGGGTTAAAATCTCTTCCTGGCTATTTTTTTGTTGTCTGTATACCATTGGGTAAGTGTCCCTTCACTGTCTGTCCCAGAGATGCAACGGAAAGTTAGAGGAACCCTCCCAAAATTAGGGGAAAATTTTCTTCTTAGACAGGTGTCCCCTTTGGAAAATGGGGACCTCTTGTCCTGGACACTAAAATTTTAGATTTTCTATTGTCCTTGCCACTAGGAAAATTGCAGGGATGAATCTAGCCAATGGACACAGAGACAACAATAGGAAACCGACAGAAGGTCCAACCTTTTCCCATTCCAAAAGTAAAATGTTTTGACCAGAGATACACTTTAAGAATAACCTGGTCCTATGTAATGGGATTCATTTTGCAATAGAGAGCCAAGGAACCTGCCAATGATTTTGCTGTTGTGCCCCATGGCATAATAATTATGATGCTACCTGCACCTATATATACTGTATTATAAGCAAATAATACTTGTAGTTTTTTACATCAAACAGTAATAATTCAGGATTCCTGAGTCTTTAATTGACAGATTAAAGGTAAATCAGGGGAACATAAACATATACATACCATGCTGAGCTGAGACTGTAGTTCTATCTCTAAGCCTTGGAGTGTGTGCTTCAGATTTGTTATCTCTGTTTTGGATGTCTGGACCTCTTGACCTCCGGAAACAACCTGTGCCTGCAGTTCTTTGGTCTGAAACATACAATTACCCCAAACAAGGTGACCAAACATTAAGAGCTTTATACTTGCAAGAGAACAATAGATGGTTAAATAAGGACCAATGTCAGATTGAGACAAAATGTACAAATCAGCAAATGCTATAAAGTGACCTTTAGGCAAATAAATGTTTGTAACCATTTACCATTCTACTGCTGTCGCCTCAAATCTTCAGTGGGCTACTCAATTGTTTTGCCAGTCCAAATATTTAAATATTTGTGGGGAGGCAGAGCGTGGTGCAGTAATACGCTGAGTTAAGTTGCAGGAAGTAGAACTTGCATTAAAGTCAAAGTTCAACTCTACAAACAACCCAGTGGGAAGGCATCTGACCGGGAACAGTCACAAGTTGTCAGTGTGGAATAGAGTAAGTCTCAGACTTGCTGGCAGAATCTGTCCTAAAGGGTGGAATGCAGCCTGGCCAGCCTGTATCCAAAGGGGAGGATGCCAGAAAGGATGGTGTGTCCCTATCATGTCCCTACTCATCTAGAACTTTTCCCTACCACTAGCCACTTTTTCAGACAGACGGGTGATCTATCTCTACACTATCCACTCATAAAAATGCGCACCAAACCCAGGAGTCAGGATCTTAAATAGACTTTGCCTGACCCAAGATGGCCACCAGAGTTACGTGGGGTGGCAACATCCAACTGCATTGCTTCCCCAGTGACCCAGGAAACCATAAAGGAGCATTGTTCCTCTTGACTTCCTCTCCCTCTGCAATGCTGCTGTGGTTGAGCACTACCTATAGTGGAGAAAATAAATTGCACCTGCCTATATATTGATAGTTGACGGTGTTTTGTGGGTGTTTTTGAACACAAGAGTAATAACTATAGCTACAGAAATATCCTTACCGTTCACCTAAATGTGAATTTTCACAACCCCAAATCTCTTACAAGTATGAACAAGCACGAAACACATAAAGTGGTATAATAGAGACGCCCTCCTTCAACCAAATTTCAACCGAAAAATTGCTTGCTATTATCTTTATCCTCTAATTTTCCTCATTATTTCCTTTGTTTAAAGCAAACTGAAATATGGAGACCTCCTTGTGAAAATTCTACAATTGTATTCTAGATAGCATACCTCCTCTTCTCTGAAGAACATGGTGAGGCTAGGGATTTATTTGCAAGACAGCTTTGTGGAAGCAAATGTTTACTGTTGTTTTAATGCCAGTGGGAGCACAATAGCTTAAAGACCAACTTCAGCATTTTTGTGGTCCTGAGAGAAGTACTGTGAACCCAGGCTGGTAAGAGGACTCACCCCCAAGGAGTGCATCCATGATGGTTTTGGCATACAGGAAGTGAAGGAATAACAGAAGGAATGCCGTCTTTTAACCCAGAAAAGGACCAGAACTGAACTGAAGAGGGGTGAGGGACAGAAATTAAGGAGGGAGTGTGGCTGTTTTATTTTTATTTTTTTTGTCTAGGCTACAGGGCCATTTTGGAGAGGGCAAAATGGCGGCACAGTACTGAAAAGGACATAAATGAAACACACATATGATACCTACAGAAATTGTGAGTTTTTGGCTGGTACCCAATCAAAACTCTGTTCTGATAAAGCTACCTTGCAATAGTAGACAACTGCAAAGGTCATGGAAGTGGCAAACCAGAGTTGGGGAAAGATGGCCCCACATCAATGAAAAAGGGATGATCTAAACCAGGCATCACTAAATGGAGGACCGCGGTCTGGACTCAGACCAAATGACAGTCCTATCCGGACCAGGGCTCTGCCACACAGCAACCTGGGTGTCCTCTCCCAGCTGATTACCTCCTTCCCCCGCTGCTGCCTCATACAGCAGCTGACAAGCAGAAGACGTGGCATGCCCGGACAGAGGGTGGGACCACCAATCTCTCAAGTCTGTGACTTGCTGCCAGGACATGGGGTGGTCCCAGCAACCAATCTCCCGCCCGCCAACAGGAAATGCTTGGTAGCCCCCCAGTCCAGACACAACGCTTCCCCGCCCACTAACCAAGCAAGGTAGAACTGGAAAGAACTGGAAAGGTAGAGACTGGAAAGGATTGTAGAGAGGCTATGATTGGAGGAGGGAAACTGGATGTAGGGGAGGGGGCTTTCATGTAATGGGGACTGGGGGATGTAAAGAAGGGGGGCTGTGAAGGGACTAGTATACATAAAAAGGGGGGGCTGTGAAGGGACTGGTATACAAGAATTGGGGGGCTGTGAAGAGGCTGGTATACAACAAAAGGGGGCTGTGAAAAACACTAGTATGCATGAAAGGGGGGGAGGTATGCAGGGGACTGAGACACAAGGAAAAGGGGGGCCATGAAGGGGACTGGGATATCATAAATGGGGAGGGGGTTGTGAAGGGGACATGAATGAAAGTAAAGGGGGGGGACCTGTGAAGGGGACTTGGATGCAAGGAAAGGGGGGCTGTGAAGGGGACTGGGATGCAAGAAAGTGGGGTGTAATGTAAGGTGAGGGCTGTTATGTGAAAGGAACTGAGATGTAAAGAGGGGGGCTGTGATATGAAGGAGTGACAAAGGGGACCTGTGAAAGGGAGAGGAACTGTGATGTGAAGGGGGACTGGGATACTGAAGGAAAGGAGACACTGTGATGTAAAGGGGGTCTTTGATGCAAAGGGGACCAGTGAACTAAAGGGGCACTGTGATGTGAAGTGGGGGCTTTATTGTAAAGAAGGGGCTATATTGTAAATGGGGGTCTGCAATGTAAAGGAGGTGCTGTGATGTAAAGGGGGGCTGTATTGTAAATAGGGGCTGTATTGTAAATGGGGGGCTGTAATGTAAAGGAGGTCTGCGATGTAAAGGGGGGGGCTGTATTGTAAATGGGGGGGGGCTGTAATGTAAAGGAGGTGCTCTGATGTACAGGGGGGCTGTATTGTAAATGGGGGGCTGTAATGTAAAGGGGGTGCTGTGATTTGAAGGGGGGCTGTATTGTAATGGGGAGTGCTGTAAAGGGGTCTGTATTGTAAAGGGGAGTGTTGTGATGCAAACAGGGCACTGTTGTGTAAAGGGGACACTGTAATGCAAAGTGAAGCTGTGATGTGAAGGGGGTGATGTAATGTAAAAGAGGGCTGTATTGTAAAACGGGGGGGTACTATGATATAAAGAGGGGCACTGTTATGTAAAGAGAGGGGGTTCTGCAATGTAAAAAGGGAGCACTGTGGTGTAAAGGGGAGACAGTGATGTAAAGAAGGGCTGTGATTTAAAGGGGGGGGGGGGCTATGATGTAAAGGGGAAACTACAATGTACAGGTGGGGAGCGGCTGTGATATGGAAGATGTGTGTGACATAGCACAAATATGAGACTCAGACCCCTCCTGAAGAAAAATGTTACATACTCCATTTCTAAACCATTCAATGTTTTGCAGTTCTTCCCCTTACCTGAGCTACGAACATTGCTTCAGCATTCTGCCGGTATTTATCAGCCAATCTTTCGTATTCGGCTCTCATATCAGCCAGGATCTTGCTAAGATCAATGCCTGGAGCTGCGTTCATCTCCACATTGACTGTTCCACTGGCTTGTCCTTGCAATCCCTTCATTTCCTAAAAAAAAATGACAAGTATTATTATTATTTCCTCAGTCTGAAGTCATGCACTTGTTTAAAGCTTCATTGTGTTTTCAGTTTAATAAGCTCAATAAATTCCAGGTACAACTAAACAAAAGATGTGTAAAATGTACAGTTCATTTTCTTTAGAAATAAGCCATTTCCCTGCAATCTTGCTGCAGAGACAGACCCTTGCTCTTTGTGTTGAGCTTTGGACCAAAAAGGTCACTGCTCCCACACAGAGAGAATGGGTTCTTCTCTACAACAAGGTGACAGGAGACAGGCTTCTTTACTCAGGCTGTGGCTGCTTTCTAATTGGGAGGGGACTGGCTTTTCTACTGAGGATGTGGCTGCTTTCTAATTTAAAAAATAAACTCTAGGCTTTGTGCCCCTGATTGGAACTGAACTGAAGAGGGGTGAGGGAGAGTTCCCTGACTGGAACTGAACTGAAGAGGGTGAGGGACAGTTCATTGACTGGAACTGAACTGAAGAGGGGTGAGGGACAGTTCCCTGACCAGAACTGAACTGAAGAGGGGTGGGGGACAGTTCCCTGACTGGAACTGAACTGAAGAGAGGTGAGGGACAGTTCCCTGATGAACTGAACTGAAGAGAGGTGAGGGACAGTTCCCTGATGAACTGAACTGAAGAGAGGTGAGAGACAGTTCCCTGACCAGAACTGAACTGAAGAGGGGTGAGGAACAGAGTGAGTGTGGCTGTTTTTTTTTTTCATTTTGTTTGTCTAGGCTACAGGGCCATTTTGGAGAGGGCAAAATACAAATCAGGTGCAGGCACAGTACTGAAATGGACATAAATGAAACACATATGATGCCTACAGAAATTGTGAGTTTTTGGCTGGTGCCCAATCAAAACTCATTTAGCAGTTTAATGAGTTTATAAATCTTCAAGCAATATACTGGACCATATTTCCTCATCTTAGGCCTACTTCTTACCTCTTCATGGTTCTTCTTCATGTAAGCCAGTTCCTCTGTAAGACTCTCAATCTGGCTTTCCAGGTCAGACTTAGATAGAGTTAGATCATCCTGGACTCTGCGAAGGCCATTGATGTCAGCCTCCACGCTCTGGCGAAGAGCCAATTCATTCTCGTACCTGACAAAATGAAAGCCTTGTGAATAATAATGGAAAATATAATAAATATGAATTAATGGATAAAATGCAATTTAGCCAATGTATACCTGACAAGATAACTAGATCTGCTTAGCCTACCCAAAACTGGTATTACAGTTTTTTGTAGATCTTGGAGATTCAAACTACCTGAGAACTTCTTCCATCTCTGAAGGACTCGGTTGGAAGAGTTCTGCATAGGCTCTATATACTTTTTTTTTTTTTTCTAGTTCTCTATATACTTGATGTTGCCATTATGTGGGGTTCCCACTCCTCTTATGTATTTTTTATAGAGAAAACAACACAGTAGATAAAACATGCAAGTGTTGAGAGGAACATCTAAAACTTCCAAGTAGACAGGAGCTCATTGGAGTCATTAATTTTGGTCTTCTTGTTGGCACATCCAAAACATACAAGAACCCATGCCCACCAGACCTCAGCTACTGTATATCTAAAATATCATCTTTAGGTACAATGAGATTTTAAAGGACAGAAAACATCAGTATGCATTGGCACATCTGAGCCTGGAGTACACATAGGTCTCCATCTCTATTCCATTGCCATTATAACAGTGATACATTTAATTCTGGTACTTACTTCAGCCTGAAGTCATCAGTGGTGAGTCTAGTGTTATCAATCTCCAGAAGCACTATGTTATTCTCTTTAGTGGCGGCAAAGATCTGTAAGTCAAAGCCACACAGAAAGGATTACGTTAAACACAATAAGCTGTAAAACTTGTCTTTAAATATTAAAGCTAAACACCAGTTTAAAAAAAAAAAATCTCCAGTAACACTGGATATTTCCCACAGCAGTGATGTAAAGGACTCACATCTTACAGCCTCCCCTTTAAGTTCCCAAATCCATTCACCAAAATTCTAGGGTTCCTCTCCCAGAATGCAAGGTGTTCTGTGAATGGAGGAGGAAACAACAAATAACAGGCTCTCCCTTCATCTATTCACAGAACACTTTGCATTCTGGGAAAGGAATACTGATGTGTTTGTGAATGGATTAGAGGACAGGAAGGGAAGGGAGAACACGGCAAGTCCTTCATGGCTTTAGTTGCTGCTCTTGATCCCCACAGTGCCAGAAGATCCCCATGGGAGTGTCCAGCATCAACGGAGGGAGGATTTTTACAGTAACCAGCAGAACATGGGATAGGCTTCATTAGAGGCATCTTATGTGACTGTTGCTGTGTTCCCAAAAAGTGATTGTAAGCCAGATGATACACAGAGATGAAACAAATCCTACTACATAAATTATACTGTTTGCTTGCAGCCCTCTCTCCTCTACAGCCATTCAAACTACACAAATCAAAGGCTATTTCTCAGCTCCAGAAAGCAGGGGGAAGGGATCTAATGCTGCACAACATAAAACAGGGAGCTGAGTGTAATCTGGGACCTTAGTGGAGTGAATGGACACACCCACCTCTACACAGTTTCATAGAGACACATGCACAGCTGAGGCTGTACACAACCTTCTGTGTGCAGGAAGAAGGGCAGGGCCATCTACAGAGATTATGTGGGGTTGGCATAACCCATCAGGAGTTACTCATGCAGATAGCATATAGAAATTACACACTGTGCTTTAGATCGGGGGTCTCCAAACTGTGGCCCGAGGGCCAGATATGACCCATTGCTATCCTTTATCTGGCCCTTGGGGCACTATTCCTCCCACAGAGACCAACAATGGGGCAATACTTCCATTGAAACAAAAGATTTTGTACTATTTTTCCCACTAATACCAATGATGGGGCACTACTCCTCCTCCTGACCATCAACCGTGAGGTCAGGTGCATTCTCACTGATGCTGGGACCCGGGCATTTTCTACCCCCACTGGCCCTAATCCGCCCCTCCTAAAGTTTGAATACAGGATACTGGCTCTTTGAAATGTTTGGAGACCCCTGCTTTAAATTAAGGCAAGTACACACTGTAGAAGAATATGCTTTGTTCATCTTCATTTCAGTGGTTTACAACCACTTTAGGGACAGTTCTGCTTAGTTCATACTAACAGGACAGTACAATTCATTTTATGAAACCTCATACCAAGTGCACGAAATCACAGACACTAAAAAGATGATGTGCAGGGATCTACATTTTCTAATCTTTTTTCTATGTATTCAAAGTAGAGCAATAAGGGCAATAAAAGTTGTTTTCTGATTGGCTGGCATGGGTTATGTGGGTATAGCATAAAAGAAAAACATTACCCATTCTTCTATTAAATTTTGAACACAGAGTTAGATACCGCAGAGCGCTTTTATATTACATAATAATATAAGTATGTATAAATTATGCCTAAACTTGTTCCCCACAAGGCAAGGTTTTCTCAACAAGCTCATTAGCGTACATTATGATGATTTATAGATGTCATGATAGTTTGCATGTCAGTGTGCTTTTAAAGACTACAACTGAATCTTTACAGACCTTCTATAACCAAAATAATGTTTACAATTAAAATTGCTAGATGAGAATATTAACAAACGTGCATGCTTGTAAAGCAAGACCAACAGCCAAGACATTTGATGAGTTAAATTAATATTATTATTCATTGTATATTTATCACTGAATAAAGTCAGACAGCAATAGGGAACTACTGATGCTTGATTACTCATTTTTTGCTAAAGGTTTATTACTGATTAATACAGTGCAAACAACATGATATGGGTCTTCTCACCGATGGAGTCATTTAATACAGAGGTAAGTTCACAGTGATCATTGACCAAAAGGTATTGACCACTTATTTTAGTTATAGACCAGGGTCTCCAGATTTTTGAAACAAAGGGCCAATTAATGGCCCTTCAAATTTTAGGGGAGCAGGACTGTTGCCAGTGGGAGTAAAAAATACTGTACCCTGGCATCGGTGGGAGTAAACAATGCCATAGGCTTGGCGGTCTGTGGGAGTAAAAAAATTATCTCATTGGTATCAGTGGGAGGACTGGTGCTCCATCAATGGTGTCATTGGGAGGAAAAGTTCCTCATCTCTGGAGTTTGTGGGAAGAATAGTGTTCCATTGTTGGTGCCAGTGGGAAGAATAGTACCCCATTGTTTGTGTCAGTGGGAGAAATAGTACCACCTTGTTGGTGTCAGTGGGAGGAATAGTGCCCCAAGGTCCCCAAAGGGGCACATCTGGCCCCTGTTATAGACTATTGACCTGTTAACTGAATGAAAGATCATCAACAAATTCCTCCATCCACAATAATATTCAGTTAGTTTGTGGGAAGAATAGTGTCCCATTGTTGGTGCCAGTGGGAAGAATAGTACCCCATTGTTTGTGTCAGTCGGAGAAATAGTACCGCCTTGTTGGTGTCAGTGGGAGGAATAGTGCCCCAAGGCCCCCAAAGGGGCACATCTGGCCCCTGTTATAGACCATTGACCTGTTAACTGAATGAAAGATCATCAACAAATTCCTCCATCCACAATAATATTCAGTTTTTCAATCGACTTTTGTCAAGCCGGTTAGTGCCAACAGGGTTATCCGCAGCTTGACTTGCAACTGATTCAGCTAGCTATGTATGGCTAGCTTTAGGGATGTCTCACAAGTATTGGGATAAATGTGTTCCAAATCTATCCTCCCCCCCTCTCTCTCTCTCTCTCTCTCTCTCTCTCTCTCTCTATCTATCTATCTATCTATCTATCTATCTATCTATCTATATCTATCACTCTATCTATCTATCTATCTATCTATCTATCTATCTATCTATCTATCTATCTATCTATACATCATTTAATATACTGTATATTCTGAGTGCTGTTGAAAGCTATAGCGGTGAGACTGTTAATTGCCCAAAGCAATTAAATTCAAAGTATTAATTATGTCATGAAACATAGAGCAGTGTTGGCCGACAAGAAATTTAACATGTTCTCTGCCACCTGGAGAACAGACATTGCTGAGACTGATAAACTATACTTGTTTATAGCTAAATTGGGTCCCATTTGAGACCTGTGGAGGACATATGTGTGGTGCAATGTCGGTCACATGGTTTAGAGTCATCAAAGGAGGCAAGTTACTATTTTTGGCAGTGTGCACAGAGGTAAACCATCAAGACAAGTGAGATAATAAACTTTTATGTTTAATTATGTCTTTACAGACTTACAGATTGTGCCAAATGGAAAATGTTTGAGCTCTTTGCTTTTGAGGTCTGTCTTGGTATGCTTTAAAATATAAATTGAAAGTCTTACCTTGTCACGGATATCCTGAATGGTCTTGTAATATTGACTGTAATCAGCAGCTTTACTAACAGGACTTTGCTTTTCATACCATTCCCGAATCTTTTTCTCCAATTCAGCATTGGACTCCTCCAAGCTACGCACTTTGTCCAAATAGTTGGCCAAGCGGTCATTTAAGTTCTGCATGGTTTGCTTTTCATTGGTAGCAAGGAGACCTTCACCAAATCCACCTCCCTGGTTAAATCCATATCCACCACCAGCTCCTCCACCAAAACCAGAACCAGCTCCTCCACCAAAGCCAGCACCAGCTCCTCCACCAAAGCCAGCACCTGCACCTCCACCAAAGCCAGCTCCAGCTCCTCCACCAAATCCAGCTCCTGCTCCTCCACAAAAGCCAGCACCTGCTCCTCCACCAAACCCAGCACCTGCTCCTCCATCAAAACCAGGACCGCCACCATATCCATACCCTGCATAGCCACCATCAAAACCAGCACCTAAATCACCAACTTGACAGTAACCTACATTGCCACCATAAGCTCCCCCTGCTCCACTAGCAGCATATTTGGAAAAAGAAACAGAGGGCCTGGGCCCAGGACCTTTGGCACCACCTAGAGACCCAGTAGATGTCCTGTAGGATGATGATGAAGTGTGGAAAGCCATGTCTGCAAGCTCTAAATAATCTTAAGCCAAAGCCGAGGAATTGGTGACTAACACAGCCTGTTCTAGCACTGCAGAATCATGTTATGAACCCCACTAGTCTCCTTATAAATCCTTTTCCATGGGTGTCAACTTTCAAAACCTGATTAATATTCACTACGTAGCTGCCAAGAGTGACATATATGCCAATAATGAATTGATTGGACATGTGTTTTTTTTTTTGTAATTTTCTATCTTGGATACTGTTGACACACGATTTTCAAAAGCAGATCTTTTGTTTATGTTCATAAACCTATAATTTAGACTGGGAGGGTGCCTGGATATATTGGCTCCGGTGTATCACACAATGACATCTCAATGAACTCTTCTGAGGGATCAGAATCCACCCACGTTACTTAATCAGCCGTGGGGAATAGGTAATATAAAGATGTTAACATCAAGTCTACTACAACCATGTAAAATGATACTGATTAATCTGAGGGGTCGTTAATACAAAGCTTACCCACCAGACGGAAAATGATGATTTTAAGTAATGTACCATTTCCAGTTGATCATTTGTCTTAAGACAATCGTGAGTTTAATCAATTTTAGTATCACGATCCTGGCAAAAGATCAATATTGCCAGCAAAATAGATCTTATTCAGTTTTTTTACATCATATAAATGATTTTCATAATGATTGGGGGTTTTTTTTTTCAGTAAAAAAAAAATAAATAAAAGATTGTGTAGAACACACATGTTCATGTATTTATGACTACTATGTCTTGTACCTCTAACAGCGCTCTGGTCAAGAAAGTATGTAAGAATGTTAATTGGCCATGTTCAGTTATTTTTTTGCACTCTTGGTTTTAAAACAATTTGCTTTATAATCCTGCTGAAGTTACAAACTTTAAAACTGATATCCACCTTTATTGTCACTTTAACTAGTTCATATCAAGCTGGCCCGTACAAACTCATTTCTACTTGAAGACCAAACCATTTCTGGCACTTTTTGTTTACATGTAAACCTCTGTACTAGATTGGTTTGGTTTATTTGGTTTTGGGAAAAAATACACTTTTTTTTTAATTTAATACAAAAAACACACTATATAACCCAATTTTTGGTAAAATATAAAAGATGATGTTAAGCTGAGTAAATAGATACCACACATGTCATGCTTTAAAATTGGGCACTCCCATTCAACAGCGACAATGTAAATTTTTACTATCCATAGGTGATGCTTTAAAAGCTTTTACACTTTAGATTTATAGAGGAGGTCTAGTGCTAGACTTACTGCCCATGATCTGTCCTAGATCGTAAGCTCCAAGGAGCAGGGCCCTCCTATCCCTCTTGTATTGAACTGTATTGTTGCTGTATTGTCTCCCTTTATATTGTAAAGCGCTGAGCAAATGGTTGGCGCTATATAAATCCTGTATAATAATAATAATGTTCACGGTGATACCCCACATGTGTGGGATGGTCGCGTGCAGGACCGACAAGTGCGTTCACCTTTGTACGGGGGCACTTTATTTATTTATTTTTTAATCACTTTTGTTGCTGTTACATGGAATGTAAGCATCCCTTCTGACAGCAATAAATCACGCGAATGAATGCTTTTTTTGTTTTTTTTCTTTTATTGGTGTCATGTTTTTCCAAGTAAACACCACCCTACCACAGTAGAAAGGTGGTGAGTGGTCCGCAAGTGGATATGCTGGAAAGTGGAGAGGAAATAAAGCATCCTTTTGCTTGCCTCAATGGAAATTCTTCGAAAAGTGGAATTTTAAATCCAATTGTCTAAGAATAATTATCAGATATATCTAAAAAAAAAAAAAAAAAAAAATGCAAAAACGTTCTATGTTTCCATACTCCATTCTGACAGCCGTAAACACAACTGCTGGGGCAACCTGAGCAATCACATTTATACCAGGAGCAGAAAAGAGTGAAAAATCGAAGGAACCAGCTGAAAGATTGTTGGTGCCGGCTGTCAGAATACAATAGCCACACCAGGGGATTTGTCCATTCAAACTCTTTCGCATGGATGAAGAAACCTTTCAGATTTCCTTCGGTCAGGATGCAGGTTTAACTAAAGAAATCTAAGAGTATATGGCCAGCTTTACTCAAACCTCTATTGTGACAGAGTGAATATAATTAGAAACCTTTTCTCTACGTAAGATGTTCTTATATTACTCTAAGTGGATTATAGGAATGAATAAGACTTACAGTCTCTTAGATGCCTCCTGGCTGTTATTACGTGTGATAATCTTATAATTTTCTTTGTATCCAATCTTCCTAAAATGAGAATTTAAATTTGGATAATGTGCCTTTCACTGGTTCAGGCAGGGTTGGTTTAATGACTGAAGCTTTTGTGTCCTTCTGCAAACCAGATACAACTTACCTAAAATATTCTCTGTAAATTGATGGGTGGGAGTGGTAGTTACTGGAGTTAGAGAACAAAGATATCTCAATGTGGTAGCTCAGAGAGCAGGCAGGAGGTTTGACAATGACCACAGATTCCGAGCAATTAAGGGCTTTAAGAAATGTTGTTATTCTGCTCATGTTGTCAGCCATAAAGCTCAGTGGAGATGTACCATGGGAACATGTCCATTTCTTTATAAATCTCTTGGCTTGTAAAACAGTTCCTAAATGTGTGCTTAAAATATATATATTTAAATATTTTTAGCCGGTGTTACCCAAATGTATAAATAACCAATACTTCTGATCAGGGGTGGACTGACCATTTGGAAACTCGGGCACTGCCCAAGGGCTCGGGGTCAGTAGGGGGCCCCATGAGATGCCCCTGGTACCTTTTTCATAGGCTTTTTTGAGTTTGGGTGAGGACACAGGGGCCCCATGATTCCCTATTGCCCGGGGGCCCCATGAGTTGTCAGTCCACCCCTGCTTCTGATTGATTGTTGAATTCAGTCTTTCTTATACAAAGTTCTTGTTCTTCCGAAGGTTGCTAAGGGTTCCATTAAGAGCGGTGCCTTTATTTTTTCCCTGACCAAAAACTGAATGGGCTCCACAAAGACCACCATTGTAGTGGGGTTCTTGACCACTTATCTAAGTGGCATTTCTCCTGTTGACCATCAACATAAGGGATCACTGACTGCTAATGTAAAGGGTCACCATAATTTTTAATGCCAGCATTTTTTTCTGTCCAATATAATTTTTTTCATTTGATAATTATTACTGAAACTAATGTTGTTTAGAACAGGGAGGTGTTACAGAATGATTCACTCTGGGAGGCATGTTCACTAAACATTTGTATTTTTTATTTATTGTAACATCTGCCACTTACTGATCATGTGAATGTACCATGCTGCAATGCTAGCTGTACATACTATGATATCTTGATATTAGGGATGCACCGAAATTTCGGTGGCTGAAACCTTTCAGCTGAAAACACCCCTTTCGGCCGTTGGCCGAAATGAAAAAAAGCACCAATACAGGTGCCGAAAAACCCCACCCCTCTTCGCTTCTGCCACCGGCCGCCTCTTGGTAGTTCTCAGCCTTACCTGAGAAACCATCGATCCCGGTGCTGGGCATAGAGATGAGTGAAGGAAAGATGGCTGCCTCTCATCTCTATGCCCTTGGAGGACCCGTTCCGGACATTTTTTTTACTTTTTTTAAAGCACCAGATCAATGCTTTTTTTTGATCCAACGCTTTACATTGCAGAGGAGAGATGTGGGGTCTTATTGACCCCATATCTCTCCATAAAGAGGACCTGTCACTAATTATTTCTATCACAAGGGATGCATGCATTTCTTCTGATAAGAATAAAAGTGATTAAATTTTTTTTAAAGGGATAGAGCAAAAAAAAAAAACAAACATTAAATACATTTTATTTACATAGTGGTGAACTCATACGTAGGCCATGCCCACATATGTAAATGGTGTTCAAACCACACATGTGAGGTATTGCCACGAACGTCAGAGCAAGAGCAATCATTCTCACACTAGAACTCCTCTGTAACTTTACACTGCTAACCTGTAGAAATGTTTAAAAGCATCAGCCATGGAGATTTTTAAGTACCACAGTTTCACGCCATTCCACGAGCGTGAAAATTTTAAAGCATGACATGCTGGGCATCTACAATTCGTAACATCCTCTTTCATATTTTACAAACAAATTGGTATATATTGGGTTTGTTTTTTTTTAATCAAAGTGTATTTTTTTCCAAAAAATATATATTCCTTTTTAAAAACTGCGCATTTTGGTTTCGGTTTTCGGCCAAGTGCATTTAGAATTTTCGGTTTCAGTTTTGGGTACCAGAATTTTCATTTTGGTGCACCACTACTTGAAATACTGTATATAATATTTTTTATATATATATATATATATATATATATATATATTATATATATATATATATATATATATTAGCAGGGGTTTCCTGAGACCAGAAAATTATTTAAAGTAATCCTTGCAAGAGAAAACAAAGATTGAGATTTCAGAGGGAAACCATGAGGAAAGTTTGACTTTTTTATAGAGTCCATTTGTTTCTACTTGCAAAGACATTCTCTCTTAACACAGTAGAGGTAACATATAAGGTAAGGTAACAGGTTATCATTAGGGTCAGAGCAGAGGGTTAGGGGTAATGGTAGTAATCACTGGATTTGGTAAACCTCCCGTGCCCAAGTTGCAGCCCTTTGATACTTACTCTGCGGACTTCAGTATTCAGTGTTTTCCATGCTTAGGTGCTTTATCTGAGAAAGTGAAGGAAAATGTTAATTAAATTGGATCTTTGTAAACAAGGGGAATGTTTACTTTTCTTCAGACTTTAGGGGGGCTAGACTGTGGCCTCCAGCAGTAGAAAAGGTCCTGAAGTCAGTGAGAAAAAACAATGCCCCACCTTCAAAGTCAGTGGGAGGAATATTGCCCCATCCTTGATGTCAGTGGGAGGAACTG